CTAAAAATAGAGATTGCAAGGCCTATTATCTCAGCATCATATCTCTTATTGCAGACAGAGAAATCTAACTTTTAACTAAAGATTGAAGTGGTTAGTTAGGTGTAATTTTTCCTTTGTCTTTTAAAAATTAAATTGAACGTACAACTTTCTTTTACCTAAAAATTACCTGAAATACCATGGTACCTGCCTCTTTTCATAACTACAAACGAAAACCTACATATGAAAAATTACAAATTGACAAGAGGCAACACAATAAACTTGCTGTTTTCCCTCAAGATTCCTCCTCATTCTATGATCTTGTTACAGAAGAACACTTGAATGACAGCAGGACTTAGTTAGGAATTTTTAGGTGTTTAAATCTAAGCATTTATCAGGCACTTAGAGAAAATGATGAGAAGTTCAGAGCAGAACCACATGAATATTTTTTATTTGTTTAACTATGTTTACTATTTTGGGTAATGAGCATACTGTTTTCTTTCTTTATTCAAACTGGGCAACAGCTTGGAAATTAAATGTGATAGCTTAGAACTGTAGAATACCTTTTCTAATGTGGTAAAGGCATAATAGTATTATATTAAATCAAGAGAATGTTTGCTTTCTACAAAACAAGTCATTAAACTCCTTGAGAAAATAATGGTTTTATTTTCTATCTCATGAATAGAAACTGAAGAAAATATTGGACTAATCACCTGTAATACTAATATTAATTTAATCCTGGCCAAAGAGGAGAGTTCTTTTCATGGCCAGGCCATGTCTTTATATTTCAGGCAATATTTTTTCATTTCCAGAATGCAATTTTTGTTTCATATCTCTTGTTTTTGCAAATGCTACAAATGCTGCATGAGATGTATTCTTTTGTCCTTGTCCATCTTTGTTCTAACACTAAATTAGGTACCATACTTTTTGAAAGAACTTTTTTGCTATTCTCCACAGTATTCTATAGCAAGATGGAGAATGCTTTGGTCTGTGCCCTCCAGTAACTTGGCATGTTTGTCTCATTAGTTATGGTTCATTCATTGGACATCTGTTCCTCCAGCTTCACTAATCTCTGTAAAGGCAGGGTGTATTTTATATTTCTTTCACTGTCACATGAATATCACAGTACTTTTGGCCATCATTAAATATTTGTTACACAAATATAAACTATCTTTGTGACACAGAGTCTAAAAAATGCACAACAGAAATAAGATAAATAAGAGTTATCACTGGCATGCTCTCACATTTACATTCTTGAGAGAATAATTCCCCCCAGACAGTCACTATCAGTTTACAAGCAGAAAAACATGAGGAGTAAATTAAGATATGTGCATTTTACCATAACCAGTGTCTGGCTGTTGCTTTAATCTGACACAAAACAATTGTATGAAAGAAATTTGTTCACAGTAGTTAAACAAAGCTCATTAATCTTCCCAATTGTTAAAGGGTAAATGAAAATAAATATGAGATTAAGATGTGTGTTCTGCATTCACAATACATTACCACTAGACAATTGATATTCTTCCACGAAGGGGCATCTAGCAAAGTCACATTGTGCTGCCTCGTGCTCTTTCCTGTACTCTTTCCCTCACATATGTTGCAAGGGTTCTGTAGGAAACTTTTGAATATAATCAGTGAAGAGCTTTACTGTGTTTGGCACTCTTTCCCAAACATGCTTATGCTCTCATAATCCCTTTCTCCATTTCTCTTTTTCATGAACAAAGCTTATTGTCTGAGTCTTTCTCTCTCTCTCATATACTTTTTCTTCTTTGAAGATTCACAGTTGATAAACTGCAATATAATCATGCTGCGTTCCTGAGCTGCTACTTCTGTGTTCATATGATCCTATTCTTATGCTTCTGAGTTGCTTTCCCTGGAATGAATGCCTTGCTCCATTAGATGTATCTGTCTAGATTGCCTGTAATCAGTTTAGTAATAATCACATCCATAGCAATAAGGTTTTGAAAGAGGAGGGTTAAAGAAAACAATAGGGTTCCTAGTGGAAAGGACAAGACAATTTCCAGATGCAATTAACAAGGAGGAATACATTTAAAACATAAAATTAATGAATAGTTATGACATTACTTCTTGGAAGGTGCTCGCCATTACTATCAAATAGGCCATATGTATGCATAGTCACATAATGCCTTTGTGCCAGGTGCTAGATTTATCTTCGTTTACCATTAATCTGATCATTTTGTCCTTCCTTAAGAAAAGTCAGTACCCTCCAATGAAAAAATAGCCCTTTCCTTTCTCCCATCAGGCTATACATGTTTCCAGTCTCTGAACATTGTTACTACCCCACTGAAGTCCTCTGTTTCTGCCAGGTGGGTCGTCTTAGCCTCCACACATACAATGCAAAACTTTGTGCTTTCACACTACTGCTTCAAAAGATGATCCAAAATGAAGGAGTGCACTGATCAAAGGACAGCAGTTGTTTGTTAAAAGAATATGTATTTTTATATAATGGTGTTTATTCTTTTCTTTAAGATAGGAAAACGAAAGACAGAATTTGACAACTTCAATATAAAACTTATGAAAAATCTGTAATCCCTACTCTTTGCAATAGTGTTTTGTTACTATTGTTTTGTTTTCTTTTAACACTGCCTACCTAGCAAACACAAATTAATCCTCAAATTGTTGGTCAAGGATCAGTAGTAACCAAGTACAAAGTGCATTCCTATTGATTACAGCACTGCTTTTCCTGCTGCCTTTGGTTTCATAGGATCCCATGGAAGCAGATGTCATTTTGATACCCACTGACAAATACTGAATGAGTGAAAAGTCATAGCTTCATGCAAGAGGGCTGTGTTTTTCAGTTAAATAACACTTACGCAAACATCCTTTACAATTACTTAAAGCACATCATTTGAAAATAAGTTTCTTTTGGTTAAACTTATGACTTTACTTTCTTGTTTATCAAGATTTAAATCTAATCACAAGTATACAGAGTTAGGACAGATTGAGGACTAAGACAACTAGTGGTCACAGTTTGTTTCCCTGATGACTCATTGAAGCTCAGTGGATGCACAAAACCACACCAAGAAACAACATGTACTCTCATGTAAGGGGATAACTCTAACACTCAGCAAAGTGTGTCACAGAAATTCCAAGTCAGTATTCCTTTCTTTTCATTTCTTTCTGTGTTTGGGCTATGATTCAAACCTACCTATGAGTTCATTCTCATGGGTTGGCCAAACTGAATTGCCACCTCTGCATTTCCATGAATTGTTGAACATTTTAGAGCTGGGCTATTGCCATTTATCCTAAAGACCAGGAGCCACATGGCAGTAATGGCTTGCTTTAATTGATAAAAAGGAAATGGTGATGTGAATGTCAGGACACATACTAGCAAGGAGTATAACAAACCAATCAATGTCAAATAAATGAATATTTTGATTTTCAAATAAACACATTGAATATTATTTAATAAAGGAGAAGATGGAAAGCATATTGTCATGGGCTTAATTGTTTCCTTCTCCCAAATTCATATATATTTAAGTCCTAACTTTCAGCTCTTGAGAATGTGACCTTATTTGGAGATAGGGTCTTTAAGAAGTCAGTAAGGTCAAATGAAATCATTAGAATAGGCCCTAATCCAACATGACTGTTATCTGGATAAGGAAAGGAATTTGGACACAGAGACACATAAGGGGAAGTCAATATGAAGAGTGACAAAAGCTCTGTCTTCACCAAATACCAGCATGGCTTCTATCAACTCAAAGCTGTATCTCTGCATAATGATGCCTATTTCTCTTAAAATGTGTGCTTGAGAAAGGTCAGCCTTCGTAAAAGGATTTACTGATTATCTCAGCCCAGACCTAACTATTGGCCCCTGTTCTGCCTTTTCTTTAGAAACTTTGCAATTGCAAATCCTTTGTCTGTCTCTTTGAGAAATGACTTCTATACTCTCAGAAATGCCTTTCTCAAGGACCTGGGAACCATCCCTTTAAAGTTCAATCATCACGAAAGATACGGACCCTATTTCCTAGTCTCTGTGAGAGAGTAGAAGCCTAACTTCAATAAGCACTCTTAAACACAGGTGACCAAATCACTCCTTTCTCTAATGTCTTTCAATACTTTTCCTTCCGAATCCTCTAGCATTTAATTTTTCACCTATTGTTTCAAAGGAGCTGAGCTCAGTTCTATATTGAAGTTTCTCTCCCTGACTCCAGCAGTCTGAATAAAACCTGCATTGCAGTTGCAAAGAGATCTATGAATTCCCCAAATATACAAAGGTCAAAGGGGGTGGAATTTAATAATTAATTATGTTTATGATGTAGAGAATATCCACTCAGTGTATGGTTTTATAGTGTGTATTTCATTGATTTAGTTTTATTCTAAAAAAATAAAGAGTTCTATGTGCAAGAGACATCATGTCATCTAATTTTCATTTTGAAGACACAAATCTTGCCTGGCATAATTAGAAAGTAGCAAGAGCAGATATGTAGAAACTTAGGAGGTAACAGAAATATTTGACTTGAGAAGTGCTAATGATACACAGGTGGGGCAAAAACAGGTTTACAATCAGGATGGAAAGTAATACAATAAATAATAATTAATAATAAATATATAGTGTAAGAATGAACTGCGTTTTACATATATACAACTGTAAACCTATCTTTGCCCCACTCTGTGTACTAGAGTGGCTGAATTAAGATAGTGAGAAGATGAAATACATATAGATGGAATTCACCTGAAGAATGAGGAAGCCACTTCTGTAAGCAGAATATACATAACCATTTTTTGCTCTTATCATAGACACATTATAAAACAATTATTTTTATGCAGACAACTGACTTTTCCCTATACCCCTTAATGGAGAGAACTCAAGATATATACTGCTTGTTACCCTTTCTATCTATATCTTGCCAGTATTACTTGTGAATGAAATAAATCTGATAATATTGACAAAAATAATATTAATGAGTCTTTTCTGTCAAATATTAGGTTCATTGAAACCACATTGAAATCTTCCCTAACACAACCTGTCACTTTGTGTCTTATTATACATCAGTTTATACCTACTTCTGACATAACTTAGATACAACTCTGACTCTAATCTGTCTAGTTTTCACACAGTACACAATTGGGTTCATCAATGGAGGCACAAGTAAGAGAACATTTGCCATGAGAACTTTGAAGAGAGGAGACACATGCTGGGCAAAGCGATGGACAATGGCAAGACTGATGATGGGTAGATAGAAGATGATCACTGCACAGATGTGTGAAACACAAGTATTGAGGGCTCTCAGCTGCTCCTTCTGGGATGCAATTCCCAGCACAGTCTTGAGGATCAGGAAGTAAGAGACAGAGATGAACATAAAGTCTACCATAACACAAAGTGCCCCAAAAAACCCATACATGACATTAATTTTGTTGTCAGAGCAGGCCCACTTCATAACATCTTGGTGGAGACAGTAAGAATGGGATAACTGGCTTTTCTGGCAGTATTTCAACCTTCTCAAAGTGAAGGGGAAGGGAAGAACCAGGAGGATGCTTCTAAAGGACAATGCTATTCCTATTTTGGCAACTCTGACAGCAGTAAGAATGGAGCTATATCTCAGGGGGTTGTGGATGGCTACAAAGCGGTCAAATGACATGATCAGGAGCACTGAGGACTCCAGTGCTGTGAATCCATGGATGAAGAATTCCTGGGCAAAGCAGGCATTGGCAGAAATTCCAGGAGCATTGAACAAGAAGATCCTCAACATGGTGGGCAGAGAGGATAAGGACAAACCCAAGTCAGACAGGGCCAACATGGACAGGAAATAGTACATGGGCTCATGCAAGGAGGGCTCTGTCTTGATGACAAAAAGGATGGTACAGTTTCCCAGAAGAGCAACAACATACACACTGCAGATGGGGAAGGAGATCCAGATGTGTGCATATTCCAGCCCTGGCATCCCAACCAAAAAGAAGGTGGTGACTTCAACATGGGATGTGTTGCTAATGGACATGATGCACTGAAGGCTCTGCAATAAAACAGAGATTCCTGAGTTAGTAAAAATATGAATACCTGTAAATTTGGTAGAAAAAAGCCAGTGTTGAAAGTTCTGGTTTATTTTCAGCTTCTTTTGACAAAGCATTTATGTGACTATCAATGAGTGAGAAGTTGATCATAGTCTAGACCAGAGTCCACTTACATCATAGATTAGAAAAATTATTTTACCATGTGTTTTCTATAGAGAAAGTAGAAATATTTTTTTGGATTCAGATATAAATTTGATTTTCTTTTCCCTTAAAATATTATTAAATTCTAGTCAATAAATATAGAATCCTCTACTACTTCTTTTCACATCTGAAATAAGATGTTGGGTAGAATGTATGCTTACTAGAATAGCACTACAAACAAAGAAGGAATCTCACAACTCAATTGTTTCCTGCTTCTTGCAACTCTGACATAAGTGTAGTCTTCTCAACATCAAACCACAATTAGTTCTATCCCTGTCTTCTGAAAATTGTTGATTATTTAAATATTCTTTTAAAAATTCCCATTATTTTCAAACCATTTGTAAGGGCAGTCAGGGCAAGGATCACTGAAAATCTGTCTCATTTTCTCCTCACCAGGAATTTGTGATCAGTTGTGTTGATAGTAGGTTAATAACCTGAGAAGGTCAATTTTGCAATTTAGAGAAGTTTGAATGCTGCTGAAGACTGAGTCCCTAAAAGGCCAATGGTCCATTTACATAGTTTCCAAAGGGAACAATTTTCCTAAAGATGACTTTTGGAGGCATAAAATTATTCATGGTTGATGCCAAAAGAGAGAAGTAAAATAAAAGTCAAATAGGTAAATATATCTGAGTACTTACCAGGTGGTGGATATTTTGTAGAGCACTTTTGAGACTGGGTGAAGGATTCTAGGACATCTCAAAAACGATTGGATTTGTGTGCCACTGAAAGCTGCTACTGATATATAATCGTTTACACCTTTTTGATCCTGCAATCACCTGCTACAGGGACACTAGACTAGACTCTCTGGGGATTGTAGCCAGGCTGGATCTGTTCTTAGAATTTAAAAAATCAGGTACTGATATAGCAAATCCACAGAGAGAGTTAATATTAAAGACATGAAATAAGTATCTAGACCTTAAATTAGGGACTGCTTTGGTTAAAGAAAGGTCCTTAATAACCAGGTATAGGAGAGGTGTGGTCAATGTTATGCACAATCTCTGACACTTCTGTTGAGTATTTGGCTCCCATGTTACATCTCTTCCCTGGACAGAATCAAAACATAGAGGCTCTGAGTTGAGTCTGTGCATTAAAGGTAGAGATATAAGACAGACCCCGTGACATGCACTTTCAACATACACTTTGCTTGTGAAGCATAGACTCATTCTTCTAGATACTCCTGGATATCACCAACTAAATATCCCTTAAAATCTACTTGTCCTAATAAGACTCCATTTTTCCTCTTTCCACATTTGCCCCTTTCCTAGGGACCCATCACCATAATAAATTTTTATGTTTAATATTTCTCAAGCCCCAATACAGAGCCCATTAATGTTTTCTGTCCCACATTTTGCATATATCGATCAATGGTCATCATTTATTGAGAATTAAAATTGTTCCATTTACTGAGTTTCACTCATTAGTGGATGATGAACTTGAATCCTTCAATCTTATGAATAATGGTAAGTGCAAACATTATCTGTATTTTACTGATGAAGAAAATGTTTTCCAAGTAATCTGGCTAAGAGCTATTGGAATGTGCTGTAGAGGTAAGGCAGAGCCTCAGCTCTGTCTGATTCCTGATACTAAACATATTCCATACAAGCAGAATGAACAATGAATATTTGGGAAGTTAGAGATTGAATGTATTACCGGAATGCTATGCTCTTTTTCAGCATTCTGACTGCCTACTAGTTAATTCTGGGAAATAATAAGGAACATATATTATGTTCACCTCCATTAATATGTGTAAGTTTCCCAATGGGAGCTAGTATTTAGTTAATCAAACAGAAGAAGTATAATATAGTTTTACCATAATCCTCCACAGTAACCTCTTTTATTTAATTACAGTGGACATCCAATATTATATTAGTATCAGGTGTACAGAATAGTAGTTAGACATTTATACACCTTATGAACTGATCCCCCAATAAGTCTAGTATCCACGAAATCCCAATTAAAAACCCACTAACTTCTCCTTGTCCTTCCCCTCCCCTCCTGCTTCCCCTCCTCATCTTCTTCCTCCTCTTTCTTCTTAGTAGAATTCAACAAGTTTAACATAAAATTTATATACAAAACAAATATATCCAAAACAACTTTGAAGGATGATATTAAAGGACTTATACTACCAGATTTCAAAGCTTATTGTAAAGCTATAGTGATCAAGGCAGTACAGTATTGGCATAAAAACAGGCCAACAGATCAATGGAAGAGAATAGAAAACCCAGAAATGTATGCATTCATACATATGTGGTCAGTTGATTTTGGACAAAGGTCAAAGACAATTCATTGGAGAAAAGGTAATCTCTTTAAAAAATAGTACTAGAACATTTGGATATTCGTTTACCAAAAATAAATAAAATAACTTAAACCTGAACCTTGCACCATTTGCAATAAACTCTTTTAAACTTTATGACAATTACTTTACATCCCTTTCCCTCCAAAATCAGTCTCCTTGGTTATGGTCAAAAGTTTTCTCCATCTACTCTTGCTTTATCTCTGAGGTTTCTACAGGTTCTTCTCATAAAAGAGACAACAGGATATATATAGGTCATTTATTATTACTGTGTGTGTAAAAACATAGTGATTGTGATGGTGATGTTATGTGTTAATTGGCTTGTTGCCCAACTTTGGAGAAACATTCCACTTGTTTCATTACAATAAAAATACGCTACAACAGGATAGTTAGCACATTTGTTATTTTTATTATGATATATCCAGTCACTAGCAGGTAGAATGACATGTGTTAGGGTTAGCAAATGTGCATTTCAGGAAGAAATAAATTGCTAGTTACAGAATAGTCACAGAGATATAGATTATATGAAATATAGTCAATAATATCATGATCACTATGCATGAGGCCAGGTGGGTACTTGAAGAAAGGGGTGGGTGCAAAGAAAACTTGCCTTTTTGCTTTATTTTCAAAATTCTTCCTCTTGGATTTCTGGCAAGATGGAGGCATAGGTGGACGCACCGTACCTCCACGCACAACCAAGATTAGAATAACAACAATTTGGAGGCAGAATAACACCCAGAACTGATAGAGAATTTATCTGAATGGAAGTTGGACAACCAAGAAGTTGAAATAGACCCGTTCATCCAGACTGGTAGGAACAGCGGAGAGGAGCAGCCGGGCGCGGGGTCGCAGCGTGGGGATAACAGGGAGAACTGAGCACAAAAGGCAACCGCGAGCGCGTAAGGCATCTGGGGCGCACAAGATCGCAGTGGGTGGACCCTGAGTACTCAAGCAGCAGCTGGCAGACCCAGTGAGGCGGCGATTCTGGACCAAGGCAGAGTGCACAACCTGGGATGGGGAGGGGTGGGGACTGGTGTCCCAGGAGAGTGGAGCTACGGCCATTGTTCACTCCTGCCCCCAACCCCGCCCCCACATACAAGGTCACAATCTAGCAACTGGGGTGCCCAGCCCCGGTGAACACTTGAGGCTCCGCCCCTTACCATAACAGGAGCAACCGACCAAAAAAAAAAAAAAAAGAGAGAGAGAGAGAGACATGTCTCAAACAGAAGAACAGATCAATGCCCCAGGACTCATCCTTTTGAGCGACCAAGAGATAGCCAATTTATCAGATGCACAATTCAAAACACTGGTGATCAGGAAGCTCACAGAATTGGTTGATTTTGGGCGCAAATTAGATAAAAAAATGCAGGTTACCATAAAAGAGATGAAGGAAGATGCACGGAGAACCAATAGTGATGGGAAGGAAACTGGGACTCAGAACAATAGAGTGGACCAGAAGGAAGAAAAAAACAACCAAACAGGAAAGAATGGAGAAATAAGAATTCAGAAAAATGAGGAGAAGCTTAGGAACTTCCAGGACATCTTTAAACATTCCAACATCCAAATTATAGGCGTACCTGAAGGGGAAGAGGAAAAGCGTAGATTGAGCACATATTTGAACAAATAATAAAGGAGAACTTCCCCATTCTGGCAAAGGAAATAGACTTCCAGGAAATCTAGGAAGCTCAGAGAGCCCCAAAGAAGTTGGACCCAAGAAGAAACACACCAAGTCACAACATAATTACATTAGCCAAGGTAAAAATGAAGGAGAAAATTCTACAAGCAGCAAGAGATAAGGGGACAGTCACCTACAAAGGAGTTCCCATCAGACTTTCTGCTGAGTTCTCAAAAGAGGCCTTACAGGCAAGAAGGGGCTGGAAAGAAGTATTCCAACTCAGAAAACTCAAAGACCTATATCCCAGATTACTCTATCCAGCAAAGCTTTCATTTAGAATGGAAGGGCAGAGAAAGTGCTTCTCAGATAACGTCAAGTTAAAGGAGTTCATCATCACCAAGCCCTTATTTTATGAGGTATTAAAGGGACTTATCTAAGAAAACAAGATAAAGAAAAAACATGTATAGTAAAATGACAGCAAACTCACAATTATTTACAACCACACCTAAACCAAAAGAAACTAAGCAAACAACTAGAACAGGAACAGAACCACAGAAATGGAGATTACATGGAGGGTTAGGAACAGGGGAGTGGGAGGAGGAGAGCCAGGAAAAAGGTATGGAGAATAAGTAGCATAGATTTTAGGTTGAAAATAGATAGGGGGAGGGTAAGAATAATATGGGAAATGTAGAAGCTAAAGAACTTATAAGTATGACATATGGACATGACTAAAGGGGGGGAAGTGGGTGGGAGAGGGTGTACAGGGTGGAGGGGAGTGAAGGGGGGAAAATGGGATAACTGTATTAGCATAATCAATAAAATATATTAAAAAATTTTTTCCTCTTTTATTTTTTAATTAAATGTATTGGGATGACATAAGTCAATAAAATTGTACGGGT